TATTAATCAATTGAAAAACTCATCAATAAACAGATCCACATGTTCACTCAAATTGAAGAATTGAACTACTTCAAATAAAAGCCCCGGTGGCCGAATGGGTAATGCGGCCACCCGGTAGCGCCTTGGCGTGGGGACCTAATGCGCGTGGGTTCGAAACCCACAAGGGGACAACATTACATCCGGAGCCAACTTCTCAGCTCCTAAAATAAAGGGATGTGAACTTGCCAAGTAGGTACCTTCGGGCGGACCTACTACCTGATTTAGCTTATTGTTTCTGAGCTGGAAACCTGTATCGCGAGTATCAAATCCTGTCTTTCATTAATTTTCCTATGTTCCTGTTATATTCTTGGCGTTATTCAACACTAAGCATTCCTCCTGTATAACCAACTCTCGCCTCTATTTAACATTATACAAGGACTCGTCATAAGCACTGCTTGCATACGAATATAACGGAATAATAATGATAATAATAATAACTTCAAATAAAAAGCACATTTAAATTCAATGACAGATTTGAATTTAATGATAGATTTGAATTCAATAACAGATTTAAATTCAATGACAGATTCAGATTTAATGACAAGTTTGAATTTAATGTTAAGTTTGAATTTAATGATAAATTTGAATTTAGTTTTTCTATGTCTTTCATTTTTTCCATCATATATTTCATCACCATCACATTGATTATCTGTGAGGGGTGATGACAGTGTGAAGAGTGAATAGTAGAAGATAGTATATAGTGTAGTGGAAGATAATAGTAATTATAGTAGTAGTATAGTTGAAGTTGTAGTTGTAGTTGTAGTTGTAGTTGTCGTAGTTGTAGTTGTAGTTGTAGTTGTAGCTAATCGCTGAAGAGGAAAAGAAAGAGAAAGAAGATGTGCGAAATACATGCATCCATATATATATACATACAGAAATAGTGGTAGCGAGAGTATAATGGAAAGAGGTAAGAATAGACGAAGATATAAACAAAGATAATATAATAATAAGGAAATAATAAACGAGTGCATTACAATTGCCCCCCTTTTTTATAAGAGCTGCCCTCAGCGATTGTATAGATTGCTTGCTAGTATATGTTTGCATTTCCGTATTGTAGATGCCGCTTGTTGAAAGCAGTGTATCGATCGCGTCCCCTCAATAGCTTGTATACGCGTTCTTATCGATTCCTTAATGAGGTAGAATTGGTGGATTCTTTGGTTGCTAGGGGTTGCGTGCAGAGAAACAAAAAGAATTTCTTTTCCTTTGAAAATTTCTCTTCTTTTTTAACTTGACCATCATCAAAACTCTTTGCCCTCCTGCTGCGATTTTTCGTTCTTAATTCAATAAATTTTTCGTTCTCCCTCCCCCCCCCTTTTGTTGAAATGGGCTCCCTCCGATATCCCGATTTTTAAGTAAGTTGTTCTTCGCGTATTATTGTTGGTGTTCTCTGTCACTGGCGTTATTAGCGTGGTCACATGCTTCACTAGCTTGTACCAGTATTCCCATCCTTTCGCTCGTCCGCTTGGTCTGTTGCCTCTTGCTTTTTTTCCCTATTCTCTCGAACGTCAACATTCGGATTCCTTGCCAACCGTTGTGCCCTGGTCTTTCATTGCTATCGTGTAATAAGAAATAGGAAGGTTGTTTTTATCTATTTTTTTTTTCTTCTACCTTCCTTCTTCCCTTT